GCCTAAAATCACTCTTTCTGAGGATGATATCAATGGAGCTTTGTTAAGAGGGAAGACCCCTAGTCAACTTACTATTCCTGAGCTAAAGAGATGGCTTTTCTGCAGGAAAGGAGCAAAATTGAGTGGAACAAAGTGATCTCTGGTCGAAAGGTAAATACACTTGAATAGCTTATTTTCCCGGCTTATTTTATGTTGTAAACAGTATATCAAACTGAAAGAAATCAACTGTCCCTTTCAGAGTTCAAAGTTATATCGATGGTGGTCTTGATAAAGACCTCATCGATCCAGACAATGGAGAAAACATTGTGAGAAAACAGCGAAAACTTGGTGTTGACAGTGGTAATGCCGCTGCCACCTGCGATGAGTTTGTTTCCTCAGAGTACTGCTTTGTGGAAAAGGATTGCTGATGGTCGAACACTTCTACCTGAATTTTCCCTGGCCAGCATGATGGCATACTTTGTTACACGTAAAGTATGTGATGGACAAAATGCAGGTGATTTTAAACATTTAAACAATCACTCTTATTCATTGTTTAAATCTGGTCATATTCAAAAGATTTTGACGATCAAAGAGAACGACAACAATATTTACTTGAATACCGTCTGTTTGCCGGAAATGCGCAAAGACCGAGAATATAAATTCTAAATGGTTCTTTCTCCTTCTGCTGAGATTTTGTACGCTGAAGATGCCTGCCCCGCGGGAAGAAGACCTACTGGGAGCTGTAAACATATTGCGGCCTTTTGCTAAGCCCTTGAGGAGTTTGTCAGATTAGATTTTACACGGCCCTTCCTGTCTTGCACGTTGCACCCTGCAATTGGGAATCAGCCATGACAAAAAAAACAAGACTCCAAAACCATCTACGAAATATTGTTTGAGTGTACTGAGTATGGAAAGGTGAAGAAAGCACACCCTAAGCCATTTCCACAAGGCTATCATGCCATCCCCGTGAAACACTGTTGTGAACAGCTTGATGCGACTTTAAAGCTGGCTAATTTGTGCAATGGATTGTCAAAGCCGTGTGCCTTTCTTAAAGTACATGTACTGAATACCAGACAAAGAGGAGCTATTTCTGTTCAACAAGTGGCTTCAACAGTCCCAACTAATTTAGACTGTCACCTAGTTAATCAAGCCTCCTGTCCAATCCCAGTGACAAGTTTTTCCACCCTTTAAATCCAGAGTCATCCATGCAGACAACTCCAACATTTGCTGTTCATAACTCAACAATTTCAACATCCCTGGTTACTCTGGGGAAATCACCAATAGGTA